CCGGGCTCTCCGAGAGGGGCGGAGGAATCGAACTCGGGTCGGCCATGTTGGCCACTTGTAAGGCGAATGCCCTATGTGCCATCAAATTATTGTCTATTGCAACATTCAAAATGGCTTTAGAAAACTTGGGAGGCTTCGGGGGTTTGGGCTCAGATAGGACTGGGAACAGCATGGCTCCTGAAAGAGCAGTTAGTCTAGAATATTGGGGTGAAGAACAGGCCAGAGAAAGGCATCCACTCGTAGGCGGTGCACGAGGCAGCAAGGGACCACCCCAGAAGCAATTTACAGAGATCTGCTTTCAGCATCATATGTGAGTGTTCTCAGTTTTTGCCAAAGCAAACTTCAAAAGGAATCTCTCATTCCAGGACAGGGGGTGCCCTACAGAGCATCCCCACCCCCACCAAAATCCACCAGGTCTCAGAGCAATATCTCAGCAAGATATGGGGGCCAGAAGCAGCCTGAGAGCCAGGAGGGCACCAGGACTGTGTACTGGGTATCAGGGCAGATAACAGAAGGACTGTCACAGGGTGTCCAATCAATCCCCATGCTTTGTCTAGGTACTGGACACTGCAGGGAGGTGGAGACTCAAAGCTCAGAGAGAAAAAGAACTCGACAATCAGAAATCAGGAAGTATCCAGGAACAGATTAGAGGACCTTCCTATGTCCCCCAACACTATGGGGGTGAGGAGGTGATTTCAGTGGTCTGCAGGGGATTCATTTTCGGTGTTAGCAGAGGCCACTGCCTCCAATAGAGCAGGTGAGTTGGGACTCTCGATCCCACAGGCCTTCACCCGAGGTTCCTGTGGGTTGCTCAGGAATGTGGCACTACCAGACATCTACAACTTTTCTCTAACGCTCATGCAATCCAGCTGAAACTGGAGACAGGAACGCTGAGCTGTGGGAGAGATTTTTCTGGCTCGAGTGAGGTTCTGGAATGCCAGGGTTAGGGTGTGTTGGGAGAAAAAGTGTTCTCATGTCCTCTGGGCAAACACAGGAAGAGAGAACACCCGGGACTTCTTACGGAGATAGAAATACACGAATTGAAGGGCTCAGGGGTTGCCTTCACTCCTAGAACAGCTCAGAGAGAGGCAGAGGGTCCAGAACATTAAGTGTCTCTGAGGTGCAGACGCTCATTCCTGAAGGCTCAATGCACATGCTCAGTGTCTTGGAGACAGGTACATGGCCCTAGAGTTTGACGCAGAGTCTCAGGCTCAAAGCGGTGCACATGATCACTTAAAGATTGCTCAGGGGCAAGATGCAGGTAGATGGGGCTGGTGCTCCTGGGTGACCATGGTAAGACAGGAACTTTTCCTCCTGTAAGGACCAAGCCTTTGAGCATGCAAAGAGCCGCTATGTGTCCTAAAACTGCGAAGCAGAGAGAGGACAGTGTGTTACCCAGAGGATGCTGGTGCTGAGCAATCTGTCAGGGGAAGATTCAAAGACTTAGTTCTGGTGGTAGGAGTTGGAGCACCACTATCAGGCTCCATGGCAGTGCCCGAAGGGGTCTCCGGGGGGTCTTGCATTGTTCCCGGTTCTGCATTTTCTCCTCACACTCCCCCTGATCTATCGTGCAAACTATCTGTGGGCAATAGCCCTCAGCTGCTTCCTCCTGCAGGTCTGTTCAGCTGCAGCGTCCCTTCCATAATGAGGCTTCCTCTTCCACATAGAAGAAGGCCCACGCTGGGCAAATTCCTTCCAACCCCTTAAGATTTTACCCTAACTGATATGAAACAAACATTCCCTTCCATTGTAACTTGTGGGCTTTGAGTGACAATGTTTGCAATAAGCTCCTGTAAACACATTGAAAGGAATTTGCCCAGCTTGCATCTTCTTCCGTGTGGAAGAGGAAGCCTCATTTTGGAAGTCAGTTTTTTTGAACATGGGATTTTTTTTTCCAGATTCTTACTGAGAGAGATGCATCTAGAAAGAGAAAAAATGAAGTCATCAGGGTTGGTCAAAACACTTTGTTTAGGTCAGGATCCATTCAGGACCTCGAAGCGTGTGTACCCACAAAGGCAGTGCACACACAGCCTGTGCTGGCATGTACTCGAAGGAATCCCGAGCCTGTTTCCCCTGATGGGAAATAAGCTGCCTTTTGGAAATACTTTGTGGGGAAAGATGAAGTCCTGACGGTTAAGGATCTCTAGCAGATCTGGCCCTGGCCCACTGACTTCTCTGATGTCTGAACAATCAGTCACTGGGAAGCAGCCTCCCGGTGGGTCCCGAGGTGATTAATTACTGCTTGGCGCGTCTCATCAGAACAGATCTGAGCTAGCTCATCTGGACCGGGGATTGGAGAAAGGCTGTTCATGGAAATTACTCTCATCCACAGGTGGATTCGGTTCTCCAGCTCCTCTCCCCATCTATCCTCTGTTTCCATAGCAGCTAAAACCCCAGGACTGGGAGCTGCGTCTGGCTGGTCTAGCTCAGGGAACGGACCTGGGGACACATGTCAACTGGGCACACCTGGTGGACTTGGCAACAGAGAGGGGTTCTCGTGGAGGAGGGGGGTGTCAGAAGGGTGAGTGGGAAGAAATTTGGAGGAGCATAGGGAGGAAAGAAAATCCGAAAGGAGAAAACATCGAAGCAGAAACATTCCAGAGGCTGTAAGAGAAAGGGAGCAGCAGAAGGGAAAAAAGAGAAGCACAAAAGGGCAAGACAAAGGCAGAAAATGCACCGAGGGAGGGAGCGAGGGAGGAGACAGATGAGCAACCGTGCAGCGCCAGGAATAGGACAAAGAGCTGGAAGGACCAGAGTGAGGAAGAGAAAAGACATTAGACAGGAGATGCTGGGAAAGCCCCTCACCAAGGTGGGGGTGTCTAAGGTCCCTAGGCACAGGGAAAACAGCGCACCTGGGTTGATGGATGTTGTGCAGAGTCCAAAGGCACAGGCCGCCCTGGCATGCAGGCACCAGGGACTCGGCATTCCACGGTGATGAATGGCACATCCGCACACTCATCAAGTCTGTCCCTTGAACAGCCCCTCCTTTGGAAGGGTCCCCGGGCTGAGTTCCATCACTAATGAGCCTGTGCACAGCTGCAGCCCCCCTCCACGAATTGGGGCCCGTCCCCATGACAGGTCATTGCAAATGGAGAGCTTGGCAGAAAGACGCATGCTCTCACTGAACCGTAGCTCCCAACGGGGGGCAGCTCCAGGATCCGTGGCCCAGGACCTTGCCTGAAATCCTTGCCTAGAAACCTTGCCAAACGCATGGTCGATGCCATGCCTTCTCTCAGGGGGCAAATGGCCAGTGTCTGAATGGGAATGTGCTCTTTAGGGTCCTCGGTCCATGGTAGGCCCAAACCAGCTGATTCTGTTTTATCCCACTATTGGTCTTCCTATTGGCTGATCCACTGCAATGTTTGGGGGGCACCAGGGCTACCCCTACCCTAGCAGTATGCAGGGGACTATGGAACACAGAGAATCAAATTTGGGGCCTTGGGTCTCAAATGTGCACAGTCTCCCCAGCCCAAACCTATTTTGCTCATGTGGACACCTACATTGCTGATGTGGATATTGAAGGGCTGTGACCTTCAGGAGCAGAGGGCGATGCAGAAGGTGCACAGTTCTTCTGGGAATGTCTGTGGGTATCTACTTGGGGAGGGATGGATGGCCCAAGACCACAGCCTTCTGGGACAGGAAGTGAACCCCCTCACCTCCACAGAGGGCTACTGTAGCTTAGATTCCCAATGTGATCAGATGAGAGAATCCCTCTTTCCTGCCCCACTTCCTTCCCTTCCCTTTGACACAGGCTAATTCTAGAAGTGCCTTAAAGAAGTTTTCTACATGCCAATACCCTACTCTGGGCCTGCGTTGAGAGGCTCCACCTGCAAAACCCAGAGCAGCCCCTTCCATGGTTCCTTTAATTTTATTATTATTATTATTATTATTATTAATTTCCATGGTTCCTTCTGAACCTTTAAGCCTACATTACTCAGTCATCCACAGACCTTCCCACAACGAGCATGTTTATAAATGCACAAACACAGACATAGAGTTCACACCCAAAAGGCAACAAGATAGAGCTCCTTACTAATGTCTCTGCTCAGATGCTGCTTTCCAGAAAGCTGCCTAGACAAACCTCTGACCACCTTCTGTCAGGTCACAATGTTCTGTCTTCTCATCCTATCATCACTGACTATACTGCATATTCACTTTGGGCGGGTTGAGAGATTTGTCTCTTGAGAATGGGAGTTCAAAGAACACAAGAAGGACATTGTCTCTGTGGGTTTATTTCTCTGTCAGAAGGGTGCATGGACAATTGCAAACAGAGAAAACAGATGACTGAGACACACAAAATCACACCATGGGCTCTGCCTCCAAGCCACCCTCATCGCAGATAGCATCTCGTATTAAATTCACGAAGTCTAACTTTTAATCCCTGCCCAAAGCAACTCTTAGTCAAAAAAATATCTAGACAATAGGACAACATACATTTTGCAGTTTGACCCCTGTTGGGCTACGCCTAGCATCTGAGATTAACCAGAGGAAAGCAACCACAAAATCACAAAATAATTACTTGGACTGGTGATCCATAGCTTGCAAAGCTGAAGACATACAGACAAGTCTATATTTCTATCAGCAAGAGAGTCATTCAAAACTCTGAGACATCCTCGTGGAGTTAGTCTCCTGAAATACAGAAGAGCAACACAGCCAGAAGCAACGTAAAGAGCAACACAACCAGCTGGGCGGAGCAACCAAAGTGGACTTTTCCATCATGAAATGCAACTAGTAATGTTCACCTAGAGTATCACGTCAGCATTACTCACTGGCAACTGGGAATCATTTCCCAGGGAGTGGGACTCTTAAGTCTGATTTCTGAAAGCTCAGTGGGTTTGTGTGGCTTGGAGAGAACACCAACATGAACTGCACAGCCATAGGTATGCTGTTTCCAGGCTACACAAATCCTGAGACCCTTTGTGCTGGGTCCAGAACATCCTTGCGAGGCTACCAAACCGTTCTTCCTCTCATGTCACAATACACCAGGCTCCTGCTCTTACCTTTGGGGGAGATGTGTCTCCAGGTAACCGTGGGCTCTGGTCGACCCGTTGCTATGCAGGTGAGGCTGATATTGTTCCCTTCATTAATGGAGATATCTGAAGAAATCTCTACAATTTTGGGAGATACTGTAGGGAGGAAAAGGAGAGAGAGGAAAATTAAAATCTTGCTGAAGCTTTTTGTTGAAGTTTTAAAATGCTCAGAGGCAGAAGTGCTCAGATATTGAAATACAGAGCTCTAGGAATAAGGAAGAAATTAGAGGGATCACCTTAAACAGGAAAGAAATATTTTCCCTGGAATTGAACCTCTATTTCCTCCATTGGAAATGCAAAGTCAGGGCATCTAATGGGAGTAAACTTTATGCGGCACTGAGATAACTATTTTGCAGAAACTGCCTCTTCATATCTCCACTCTTACCTCACCCACCTCCCATCCACAATCTCAAGTCATTCTCCATTGCCTGCAGCATCATTTAATGAATGCAGTTCTGATTCTATCACAGCTCTGCCTAAGCTCTCCCTGTTATCCACCTGATAACATCCAATCCCCTTTACCTAGCACACCAGCTCTTGAAGTCGCCAACATCTGCCTATGACATTTTCACAATTCCTCCTCAACTTCCCCACACATCTTGGCCTTTCTGATCACTGTGCATTCATGACTACTGTGGTCTTCTGCTTTTGTACCTCATTCAATCATCCTGAAGGTGGGACTCAAAGGGGAACTCTGCTTTTGTGTACATCTCTGGTTAAACAGACCATCAAACTCTACACCACACACACACACACACACACACACACACACACACACTTGATGAATAGTGAAAGGAACAACAATTAGCTATGTCACACACTTGCTCTCATTCTCTCTCTCCCATCATCACTCCCCCAGGGAAAGAAGATGTCCATTCTAAGTGATACATTTGGACAAAGATTGTGCCCACTTCCTTCAGTTCTTGAAGCCTGGTTCTTGAAGCCTGGCTTCCCTTAATAACCTCTGTACTGTGGAGTTGCTTCTCCTCATGGTTTCTAGGGACCAACCCACATGGTAACAGGGATGGAGACACCCCATAGTCCATCCTGCCGTTTCATATGCCTCTATCTCCTCCAGAGCGAACAACTCCTTGTTGCTAAACATAGATGCCCAATTCCCCAGTATCACCCTTTCCACTGACCCCATGACAGAGGGTCACATATGGCAATTAATCTAGCTGATCTTCCAGTTGTTTTATAAAGTCAGGGTGTCATTTATTGACCTTCCCCCTCCCAATTCCAATCCTTGACATTTCTCCCACCATGCTATGGTTATTTGCTTAGCATCTCTCACCTGCTAGACCTGCAAGCTTTTTGACGGCCCAAGACATGACTTATTCATATTTATATCCATAATGAAAGCTCAACAAATATTTATAGGGTGGAATTATAATGGTTATTTAAGAGAACCAGTTTCCCAACCTGCCACGTGTCTGTAATAACTCAGAACAGTCATTGACACCTATCATTTTCGCTCCACTGACACTGGGTTAGATGCATTCTTTGTTCCAAAAGAAGCTTGCCCTCAGTCCTGATGTCAGTTTTCTTTCTTTGGCACCCCAGGGCACCACAGGCATCAGGAAATAATGCCCTCTGGCCTGCTGAGATCTGAGGGAAGATACATAGTGACCTCTTGCCTGCTTCAAGGCCAGAGCATAACCGTCTCATGAAATTGTGATTGGCTGGAAGAGTTGGTCTCTTTTCTGCTTGATCCATGAAACACTCCACCCTAATTGTGTTGGATTTCCCCCCCGTAATAGGTGGTATTACCTTCTATTCAACTTGGCTTCTGTCTTTACTTATTTAATATTGGCTTCTGTTCTTCTCCAGGTTCCTGAAGCCACTCATGGGTAAATCTGTGTTGTGCTTTTCTCTCCTTATCTGCATGGTCTCAGCACTGAGTTGACCACTTACCCTTTTCTTCTAACTACCTGCCCATCTTCCAGTGGTTCCGGGTCAGGAGAGAGACTGCTCTTTCTAGGGGCTCTTGAAAATCATCTCCCAACTGGATGTCCTCTCCCTCTTGGGGTTTGTCCAGGAAAACAAAATAAACTCATGCATTGAATTTGGTATTTATTAAAGTTGTGTATTAAGTAGTTTTTTTAATCAACTCTATTCTACACTTGCCTCATCTTTCTTCTGTGCAATAAATTATCTGAATACAAGATGGTGAGCAACATCCTTACTCATCTGTTTTATTTTCTGCTGTCCTAAATTGTACAAAGTAAGCACCAATGAATCATATTTAGATTAAATTCACATTGAGTTTCAGATAGGCAATGTCTGTGTGTGTGTGTGCATGTGTGTGTGTGTGTCCATGAGTATATGCACTTGTCCATATGCTTACCTGCTTTCTCAGATATTTAGCATGTCAGAGATAACGGTCGTTATGTGGTAAGGACTAGAAAATGACCATCATCCCTAGGATTTGGAAGTTCTAAGACATCATATTGCAATTTATGCTCGTGTCATTTTAAAAGCTAGATTGAATCTTTCAAGACAGAAAGATAATTGATGGGTTCATGACCAAACACTTGATTTGCAGACTGTCTGAAGGATTCAAATTTCTCATTTCCCTTGGTTCTTGAATCATGGAAGCTTAATATATTTTACTCACACAGCTTTAGCGGGAGCGTTTGCTTCTTGGGTCACCACTCCCCCAGCCCATATATTTGCCTGGCCCTTGCTCTGCTGGTTCTTGGCACCCTGCAACCTTGCTGGCTTCCTGGAAAACAGGCTGCCTACAGAACGAGTGTGCTGGCCTTGCAGGCGCGGCTCCCGCAGTGCAGGTAAGTAATTTATTGATCTGTAAAGCACTCCGAGATGCTCTGCAAGGGATTATGTCACGACAACGCCATGCAATAAAATAAAACATGATGGACTTGGTGAACACAGGGTGATTTAGGGTTTGTGGTTGGAAGTGTGCTTAAAGTACATTTTAAGTGGAAATCAGACTGGGTAATGAATTACTCTTGCTTTGGAAGGGCTTCCTGGGAGTTCATTTTCCTGGCTTCTTACATGATGGCTAATCTGCTAATCATACACTAGAGAACAATGGACAGTCCCCAAGTAGAACAGAAAGATGGTTTAGGCCAGCACTGTCAGCACAGTGAGTCTATTAAATGAGACAATCACACCTCACGCTTGGAAGAATCATCTAGAACTGTCTCCCTTCACTAACAATTGGAAAGGGTCCAACTCATGAAGTAGAAGTCGGAGCTATCCTTGCTGTCCCTTCGATCTTGAATAACAGTGTGGCTGGAAGGTGACAAACTGCCCCACTGCACAGATCAGAGAGGCAGCACATTCAAGCACCTGCAGCCAAGGGTCCCGACTGGAGGTGCAATCCCAATTATCAGAGCTAAATTGGCCTCATGCCTACGCTAGTAGGGGATCAGCAATATCATTTTCTCGGTGGTAACTTCTAGCACATTGTCAGTGTTTAAACTGAAATTGAATTGGTAAGGATGTACTGGAGTCTTAACCAAGCCATGCCCATGAGAAATTGTGGTAACCTAAGATAGAGCTAATAATATTTCTATATTATAAATTCTGTCCCTTATCTCTGCTCATCAGGCAGACTCTTAGGCATATCCTAAGATATAGTTTTGTTCTATTTTCATTAACTCTCTCATTCATTCATTAATACACATCGATTACTTTCAGATACCAGCATTGTGCTTAGCCTGAAGAATTTCCTAGATCCCATAGTACTGAGAGACACAGACAGACCATATGCCTGGCTGTATGGTGATGGGGAAATCCTTGACGTATTAAAAAAATGCAGTGGCTTGACACTTAAGCCAGGCTGGGTATGGATGTTCTAGAAGGCTGGCATATGTTACACCTAAAGTAAGCTTTAGAAAATAAGAATGAGTTAATCCATTTCGTAGAGGAGATGAGAAGAGACACTGTAAACAGAGACCACATCAAAACAGTGGTTTTGTAAGTAAGGTTTACAGTGGTTTTATTAGTAAGCTAGGGCCAGGTGCACTCATTGATGTCAGACGAGGTACAGACGGAGGTAGGAACAAAGGTCACTGGACAAATATTCAATGAACATTCGCTAAGGACACAATTATGTGTTAGGTGTATGGGTGGCATGAGGATAGAGTCAAATGCTGTTGGCCTTCCATAAACTTACAATCTGTGCAGATAACCTTCCCAGAGAGTTGATATGAAGACAAATTTAGACACGAAATTGCATGGGATTAAATGTTAAGTGAATCATGCAGACATAAAATTCAGTGAGCTAACAAGAGAAAGAGAGAATAACAGAGTACAGGAAGGTCAAACTGGCTTCAACTTGAACGTCCATCCCATTTAGGATATATAAAAAAAGAATACAATCGTTGATGTAGAAAAAAGAGAATATTCCTTCATGGAGGTCAGAGTTTTAAGGGGATAGACAAGAGGACTGAGCTCCATAAAGGGTCTGGAGGTTTAGAATCTTTGAAAGTCCCCAGAGGCATAAGACAGGGCACTTGAGACCCCTATCTCTGTGTCCAGCTGGCTACATGAGGTCCAGTTACTTCATCTTTTTCCACCTCCCCCCTTCCTATTCAATGGAGCTATGATGAGCCTGTACCTCTAGGATTTCTGAGAATTTAAAGAAGAAGGTGATAAACATGCATTTGAGAAGCTTCCAGCACATGAAATGCTCAATCAGAGAATCTGAAACTGGTATATGTTTGGCAAACACACATATGTAGAATCTACCCAGAGCTGATGGCTGATAAAAATTTGCATCTTTATGAAAAAATGGGCTACAAAATCCATGAGGCAAGCAAACGCTAAATTTTTGGAACAACCAGAGAAGCTTGATTCTGACTTTTAGCTCTCTGGCCAGGAATGGCAAGCATTTGAAAATTATTTGGAAAATTAAGACATCCTATTGTGATAAAAATATGTATACTTTAAACAAAATAATAGGACAGCAAGGTGCCCAACAAACTGGAATAGATATAATTGGAGTCAGAGACTTTGATGCTGAAGAATGCTACTCAAGACTGGATCCAAGGCTTGGATTTGATAGAAAAACAGAGATTTGAGAGCCATAGATTGCCTATATAAGGAACCAGAAACACAGATAGGAT